AGAGAGAGAGAGAGAGAGAGAGAGAGAGAGAGAGAGAGAGAGAGAGAGGAGCCAAGTTGGAGGAGCGACATAGCCGCAAGCTCGGACGAAGGAGACCAGAGTGACGGGAGAAGAGAGAGAAGGGAGAGAAGCCATAGTCGGTGGTGAAGAAGGAGTGCAACGAAGGAGGAGGTGGGCAGGCAGAGAGAGATCGAAGCGAGCGAGGAAGTCTTTGGTTTTGACGAGGAGAGGATGCGAGCGATCGAAATGGCTTCTGCTGCTAAGTACTAAAACTATTATTTTCTTCGTCTTCTTCTTCTTCTTCTTCTTCTTCTTCTTCTTCTTCTTCTTCTTCTTCTTCTTCCTCGGCTTCTTCTTTTCTTCCACATTCTTTTCTTCTTCTTCTGCTTCTTCTTCTTCTTCTTCTTCTTCTTGTTTCTTCCACATTCTTTTATTCTTCTCCTTTCCACTTCTGCCCGCTTCTCCCCACTTCTGCTCGTTTCTCCCCACTTCTCCCTGCTTTTCCCCACTTCTCCCCGCTTCTCACCACTTCTCCCCGCTTCTCCGCACTTCTCCCCGCCTCTCCCCACTTCTCCCCGCCTCTCCCCACTTCTCCGCGCTTCTCCCCATGATGTAGTGCAAACTCCCTACGATAATTTCGCCTAGGTTCCGGATCCGGATCGCCACGCCACAGCGCCGGATCCCGATCGCCACGTGGACCTGGCACGTGGCAGCGCGTACCTCCGTCTACCTCCGCCCGTCTTCGCCTACTGCCGCCAACCTCCGGCCACCCCTGCTTCCGCTTCTCAATCCGTTTCCACTTCCTCGTGTGCCCCCATGAAGGCCCTGCCAAGTGGCAGCGCCGCTGCGCCGCTTCCCAATCCCGATCCGGGTCCAGATCGCCGCTCCGCCCGCCTCTGCGTCAGCTTCCCAATCCCGATCCTAATCCCGATCCCCACGTGGACCTCTGCCCACTTCCGCGCATCTTCCCAGACCTGGGTTCGTTTTATGTTTTCCTTCTTTTTTTTTATTTTATTTCAATCAATCAATCAAGCAAGCAAGCAATCAATTAATTGAAATTCATTGATTGCTTGCTTGCTTGATTGATTGATTGATTGATTGATTGATTAATATATATATATATATAGAGAGAGAGAGAGGGAGAGAGAGAAAGAGAGACACACACGCACACACACACACACACACACACATTCCGCTTCCCAATCCAGATGCGCTTCCCCTTCTCAATCCGCTTCCCAATATCGTCTCCGCCTACCTCCGCCGACCTCCGCCCCCCCCCGCGTCCGCTTGCACCCCCATCAAGGCCCTGCTACGTGGCAGCGCCGCTTCTCCCCGCTTCTCCCCGGTTGTCTCCACGTCTTCCTGACAACGTCTTCGTTGATTCTCCCCGTTTCTCCCTACTTCTCCCCGCTTCTCCCTAGTTCTCCGCCGACCTCCGCTCGCCTCCGCTTCCGCTTCCCAATCCCGATCCGGATCCGGATCCCGATCCTCTCTCCCAACCTTCGCCCAGCTCCGCCCACCTCCGGCCGCGTTCGCCTACTCTGCTCGTCTCCGCCGACCTCCGCCGACCTCCGCCCGCCTCCGCTTCCGCTTTCCAATTCCGATCCGGCTTCCCAATCCGCTTCCCAATCCCGATGCGGCTTCCCAATCCCGATTCGCTTCCCAATACAGATCCGCTTCCCAATCCCAATCTGCTTTCCAATCCCGTCTCCGCCTACCTCCGCACGTCTTCACCTACCTCCGCCGACCTCCACCCCCCCCTACTTCCGCTTCCCAATTCGCTTTCGCTTCTGCTTGCGCAACCATTCAGGCCCTGCCACTTGGCAGTGCCACTTCGCCGCTTCCCAATCCCGATCCGGATCCCGATCGCCGCTCCGCCTGCCTCCGCGTCAGCTTCCCAATCCCGATCCGAATCCTGATCGTCATGTGGACCTCTGCCCACTTTCGCGCATCTCCGCGGACCTGGCTCCGTTTTTTTTTCCCCTTTTTTTACTTTTTTTTTACTTCAATTAATCAATCTATCAATCAAGGAATCAATGAATCGAAATTGATTGATTGCTTCGTTTTTTTCCCTTTTTTTTTCCACTGATTGATTGATTGATTGATTGATTGATTGATTGATTGATTGATCGATTGATTGATGAGGAGAGAGACAGAGAGAGAGAGAGTGTGTGTGTGTGTGTATGTGTGTGTGTGTGTGTGTGTGTGAGAGAGAGAGAGAGAGAGAGAGAGAGAGAGAGAAAGAGAGACACACATGCACACACACACACACACACACACACATTTAGTTGCGCACGGTTTGAAAACATTTTTTTCGTTTTTTTTATCTTTTTTCCTTTTTTTTTTTTGATTGATTGATTGATTGGTGAGGAATGTGTCGTCTCCTCCACCCTCACCTCAGCAGAGGTTCGCCTACCTCCGCAGAGGTTCGCCTACCTCCGCGGACCTCAGCCTAGCTCCGCAGACCTCCGCCGACCTCCGCTGGCTTCCGCCTACCTCCTCCTAGGTCCGCCTACATCCCCGGATCTCCGCCTACCTCCGCCTACCTTCGTGGCCGTCCGCCTACTTCTGCGGACCTCCGCATAGGTCCGCCTAGCTCCCCGATCCCGATCCCACCCCCTCCGCCCCCCTCCGAGCACATCCGCCCGTCGTCGCCAACTCTGCTAAAGCTTCCTGATCCCAATCCCGATGCCCATCTCCACCACCCTTCCCCCACCAATCAATCAATCAATCAATCAATCAATCAATCAAAAACCGAAGCGGGGGAAGAGCTTCCGCTTCCCCCCCCACTTCGTTTTTTTTTTTTTGACTGATTGATTGATTAATTGGTGGGGGAGGGGTTGCCCCCCCTACCTCCGGTGACCTTCGTACCTCTGCCTTTCGTGCTTTCAATCAATCAATCAATCAATCAATCAATCAATTAATCAATCAATCAATCAATCAATCAATCAATCAGTTCCGATTGATTGATTGATTGATTGATTGATTCAATCAATTTCGA